TTACCTTCCAAATGAAGATTATCATGTTTCTTCATATAAATTAATATCTATAATAAAATTTTGAACCAATGAGAAAGGCAGCCAACTAGTCAATCTAAGACAGATTGGGGAAAAATTTATAATTAGTAATAAGAAAGTTTCAGCCATGATCAGAGAATGTCAAATAGTCAACCTCAGTTGAAACTCTAAAAGGAAAACACAATACTCAAGAAACGCTCAATAATACTCTCAAGTAGCTTCATCAACATGTTGAAGATGTTGCATACGGATCATCAGGAAGAAAAAAAAAAGAAGTTGTTGCCTAGCAATCAACCAGTTTTATGAGAAGAACAAATGTCTTCATAGAGAAGTGTGGGAAGAAAAACTAATGGAAAGGATTAGCAACACCCATTTGAAAAGGGAAATTGGACATCAGAACATGCCACAAAAGTAGGTTCACAAGGAGATAACCACATATCATATTGTACCGAGAAAGCTCATCATGGTTTGTCAATACGGCACATGAGGCAAGGAGTTTTATGCTTCAATTGAAGACGTAGACAATAAGGACACCTCTACCTGAGAAACGTTTGATCATATGAGCACTTGAAACCCTTGAGCACTCATTAAATTGCAAAGAAACTTCAAATAGATAGGTCACCAGCAAGAAGTCACCAATTATGAAAATAAAAGGTAGAGATCAGTCTTAAGCTTGATAGGTTAAGGGTGTTGACCTTTTCAGCACTACATCTGAAGTTCGAATCCTACTGCTGAACTACCCTACCAAGCCAAAAAACAAAAAAACGAAAGTAACAAGCCAAGGAAAAACCAAGGAAATTAATTTATAATTTGCTCAGAAACGAATAAAGAACACATAAATGACCTTGGAGCCAAAGCGAATTGATTGTACTTCCTACACAACACCATAGGTTGAAGACCAACCAAAAACAAATGCAAGAATGCTCATTAACTAAAGGAACCACCTACAGAGGTAATGGTCCCACTTTGAAAATTAGTGCTTCTAATCATGTTCAGAAACTCAGCTGAGTCCACTCAGACTAAGCTGAGTTACTTGGACTTGGCCCCTTGCAGAGCCAAGTACTCAGGTAGAACCAGTGTTTTAAAATGCGGCCGCATCGCCGCATATGCGGCCGCATCATGCGGGATGCGCTCGCATCCGCATCAAAAACAGGCGCATATGCACTTTTGACAGATGCGGCCGCATATGCGCCGCATCAGGCCGCATCATGGCCGCATCCCACTGCTACCGTGTCCGCCGAATTTGTTTTCTGTTTTGCCCCTCGGGGAGGGGCAAAATAATCTTTTTGACCATCCAAATGTTAGGGAAACTGTTTGGGGGGTATTAGGGGCCCTAAATGAATATTTTCAGCCACTTTTGTGGCTTTTTTTATCAAATCGAGGGAAAAAAAATTTAGGCGGAATTTGTTTTCATCAAAATCTTTGATTTGGCGGTTGTTTGATACTTGGATGTCCATTGGATGCCTTTGATTGTTGATTTGAAGAGGTTAGGGTGAATTTGTGATAAAAACTCGGGAGTTTCAGAGATCGAAAAGAAATCGAGCAGTACTTCACAGAGTCGGTAAAATTTTTTTCCTTCTTGTACAATATTACTATTATACATAAATTTGGGACAATGTCTTCTTCCCAATCTTTCTAATAATATGGACCCGGCTTGGAAATATGCTAAACTCAAAAATCCCAAAGATAGAAATTGTGTGATATGCTTGCATTGTGGAAATACTTATATGGGTGGATAACTGGATACAGAATCTCCGACAGCTAATAGTTTTGAAGTTAATCATTAAACTAAAATACCTACTATCACATATATCACCTTCATATTTTTTTATATGCTTTAACTTATTTTTTAAAATTTTTTACCGCATCATCACGATGCACCTGCATCCAGGCCGCATCGCCCCATCGGCCCCCCACCGCATCAGGGCCGCATCCCGCACTTTAAAACACTGGGTAGAACTAGGCAAATCAACAAAATAAAAACAATCATAAAAATTATATAAAATTGTGGAAACAATGCATAAATATTTTACATGTATTGGATTTTTTTAACAATGATTTGTGATTTTTCTTGTCATATGCCCGAATTTTACGTTTTATTCTTTTTTGGATTTTTCTGAAATGTCTACAACATTAAATCATTTTCTGAATCCATGTTTTATATATTTTTTCCAGCTTATTTGGACCTTTTAGGTTTCTTTTAGTATAATTTTATTTTTTACTATTTTATTTTATTTTTAACAATTCTTTTTATTTTATTTTTTTGGCTTTTTGGGCCCTATACGCTACTTGAGCGAGTCCACTTGGATTCATCCCTATAACTCAGCTCTAGCCAGGATTGAGTCCGAGGCCAAGCCAAGTTCCAAAACATTGCTCCTAATATTGAAATTGACAACCATATGTCACTTGTTCCAACTTCTACAAGCACTATCTAGAAAATTTTGATAAACAACTCAATCAAATGGAGAAGGAAAGTTCAATGGTGCATCAATCTTTTTGTCATTAATTAGGATGGTTAGTTCTTTAAAGAAGGAAAAACCATGCCCTCCCAAAGACAGAGTAAAGAGAAATTCTAGCCACAAACTTTACAATGCAAAAAAACTTTTCTAGCAAGATTTACTTGATAGTGTCCTTCATGATAAAATCGGTACGCTTGGTGATCACAAACTGACATCGAAGACACGGCCGCAAGTCATGAGCGACCTTGAGAAATAATATCCATGTATTTTTAGGACTTACAAACTAGGCAAGATGGAAATAATCACAATTTGGCAATCAAATGGGCTGATAAAACTATGATCACAATCTCACACTAGACAACAATTGTAACAGACATAGCTGCACTTGAAAAACGTTCAAAAAATTGGACTCCACTTAGGCTGCCGGGTGGCCTCCTAGACCCGCACCTAGATTCCTAGGTGGCCCTTTTTGGTATTCTTTTCTTTTAAGAGGCTCAACATTGTGCACATTTAAGAATAAGAGTTAATTCAGTTTCACTTTGTTTGAAGGGTGAATCATTCATCATAAAATGAATTTTAGTAAGCACAAATAAGTTTTTGTTTGGGAGGCCTAACCTAGCACACCTTTAAGACTACGATTTAAAAGTTATGGTATGATTTTCTTTTAAATCTTTAATATTAGGAAAAATATACAAAAAGAGCATTTACCTTTGTTTGATACATGGACGTCACAATTACTTTTGTCCGTAAGATTTCAAACCGGATGGTTAGAACCGTAAGATTTCAAACCGGATCTCAAATTTCAAAAGAAATTTTCGCAAGCTTGGTAGCACATCCCAAGCCATCCAATTTGATACCTGACGGCTAGGATTAATAGTGACCTCCTTGTAATAAAATAAATGGTCTTATAGTATACAATCCCTTAATATTAACAATAAGTTTATATTTAAAAAAAAAAAAGAAGGTTGTGTTTAAGTTTGTCTTTTTCACGCATTATCAAGGGTTTTATATCATCCTTATGGGTGGCAGCATGTCATTACTTAATAATCTCGCCATATCTAATTTTTTTGGTTTATAAAAATTGAGCTAACAAGATAATTAAATTTCCATTTGCAGGTCATTACTTAATAAACTTATCTGCTCTATTGAAATCTTACTCCAGCCCACCCCTCATTCACTTGGCATAGATTCAGCTACACTGCCCTTAGTATCTCAATTTTTACACCCTACAGCAGTCCCGTTAAATCCCTAATTGGACCTCGGCACGCTTCCACGAACCCCAAATCCATCCATGCATCCCACCACCCATACACATCGTCCCTCCTATTCATCAGAAGGATTAAATTTCATTCACAAGCATCCCCCTTCTTTGCTCTTTATTGGTGATAATTGAACCAGGTCACCCATATTTCTCCCAATACCTTGGATGTATACAGCTGTGCCCTCCCCTTCTCAAGATCACAAGATTCAAAAAATGCACCACAGTGGCCCCTACAAATAATCATCATCATCCCACCACTGCGCCACATCATCTTCAGTCATGCCCTCTCTCTCTTTTCTCTCTTTCTTAACTCTCTCTCCGTCTCAAGGAGTGCCTGATCTCTCTCCTTTATCTCTTAACTGTCTCCATTTTAAATCACTGTCCAACCTCTCTCTCTTCTCTCACTCTTTCTTTCTCCATCAACTCTCCTCTCTTTCTCTACACTCCACCACGTGTTCTCAACCCATGCTGCTGTCAATTATCGAATACCTCTCAATTTGCCTTTTCTTTTCAAAAACATATTTTCACAAATGGCCAGCCACAACTCTCATCCCCACATCATCTTGTTTAACCCCAGGTACCCACCCAAAAGCCCACCCCTGGGCAGGTTCCCAGGCACGTGTCCGCATGACACCAGCCTAGGCCCTTGAGGTTTGGCGGGCCCCCAGATTACCTAGGCTGCTAGGCAGCCAATTGTTTTTTTCACTGCACATGCATAATCTTAAGATGCACTCAAGCATTTGGATCACCTAAAAATCAACACCAGTGTTCATTTAAGCAAGAAAGTAAAAAGAAAGGCACTCTATCCACCAAGTTGCAGTCAAACCAAAGTTGCAATACACGTAATAATCACGTCCCAAGTAATTTCCACAAGAAAAATGGATAAAAAATGGAATCAGCATGCCTATGGTTTCAGTTCATATCATTTTCAAAAGTTTCAACATACTATCATGTAAGGGCCAGAATCAGATGGCATTTTACAGAAAGAAAACCCCGTTTCCAAAACCAAATGGTCAAGAGAACATATCCTATATCAAAATTGGATCAGTTCACAGAGAATTCGTGGTAAAGAAAAAAAGTGAGGTCAATTTTGAGCATGAAAATAGTACGTAAAAACATTGTTTGCCTAAAGTTCAACATGCGAAATAGATGTGGTTCAACATTAACAAGGATCAAAATACATCATCATAAGTTTGGGACAGAACTAATAGGCAAAGATTAAATGTAGAGAGAGAGAGAGAGAGAGAGTTAAGACTACATACATGGAAGAATTCGAGCTGATCTTCAAGGTCTTCGAGAGCAGTCCTGATTGCATTTAAACTTCTCGCCTCTGCGACAAGTCCATCAGTATCAAAGGCTTGATTCTCCTTCTTCATGAACACAAAGCCATTGGTGAATTTGTTGTTCTGTTCTTCATTTTTTAGGGTTTTTTCAGGGGAAAAAGCGTCTTCCTCTGTGTTGATAGGTGGTGGTTTAGAGATGGAATTTAACAAGTGGGTTTTGGAGATGAAATGGATGGCATCACTGATCTTATCGTGCAAGTCCCATACCCTCTCGAGAACCGCTTCAATATCTTCGGCCTCCATTGCCCCCATTTCATTCCTAGGGGGATTCTTCTTCGAATGGGTTTGATGATCAAAATGTGAGGGTTTTCCCTCTCCAAGTGTAGAGAGAGAGGGGGAATTTAGATGAGTTGGGAAAGGGGGGAATTTTGAATTGGAAGCAACCCTAAAGCTGCCCTTCTGGCTTAATTGAGAAAGAGAGAAGTAAAGCCGATCAAAAACTGCGACGGGAAAAAATTAAAACGCAGATTTTTTTCGAAAACATTTATGATATTTTAAAATTGTGTGATCATGTGGGGTCCTAGAGGTTTGGAAGGGTCTCGTAGGATCATGACGCGCTCATGTAAATTGTTAAGAAATTTGAGTTTTTAGAAAAATGTTTAAAATAAATATGGGTTGTATTTTATATTTTTAAAAAAACTTTTAAGAATGAAGACTTAGGGCCTCAATGAGATATTAAAATATGGATTTCAATAGAGTAGAATGATGGACAGCCAACCCTAATTTATTGAAAAAAGTGTGTGATGATGATAATGGAAACCACTACTCCATATAACTTTATCTCTTCTTTAATTTAATATATTTGAATTTTGGTTCAGAGATAAGCACATTAAAAATAGAATTGAATTAAGAATCTTGATTTAACAAAAATTTTAATAAAAAAATTTTACCAATATCTTCGCTTAAAAAAAGTGACATATATTCTCCAATAAAAATCCACCAAAACAACCATATATCTCGAATTAATAGTTAGAGTTAGAAAAACAGTAACCAAATGCAAAGTCTTTTTTTTTTTCTAAACAAAAAACGCCATTGTAAAGAGCAAAAGAGAGATTCAATGGCCATTAAAGATTTAGACAACTAGGAATCCAAGGTGAGCTTCGATTATTTGGACATCTGGAAATTTGAGTCGGATTGGTGGATTGGAGAATCGGCTGGATCCGGCATTAAAACATTTTTAAAAAAAAAGGAAAAAATTCTTAAAGATCTAGTTTTTTTAGTTCTTTATGATTTTTCATTATTTTATAAAAATATATAAATATTGAGAACTTGTTTAATATCCGAGTGTATGTTGTCCATTAAATCCACTTTATAGTCAACAATTCATCTTCCCTCTCAGTTATCTAAATAGATAAAGAAATATGTGCCAATAAAAACTCAATTCAACACTGAAATTATTTCTCATACCATCTAAATCAATTAAATTTAAAAAATATATATATATATATATATATATTCTTGCAGCAATTTGAATCTAAAAGTTATTTCATAAGAAGCGTCATCATATTTTTCAAAAATAAATGGTCAAAATCAGTAGAAGGATACATTAGCTTGATTTTGTAAAAAGTTTCATTCTAAGTAGTTTTAAATAATTTTGTAAGAAGTTTGATTTTGATCTCATGTAAAATCAAAGCTTCTTAATGGAGGAGCCACTGAGGGGAGGTGAGAGTGATTCTGGTGATGGGGATGAGAGGAAGATGGTAAGAAGATGCTTGTTGTTTCTATTCGGTATGATTTATCCAGTGGTTTATTACTGGATGCTCCTTTTCCAGTGATTGGATCCTTTTCTCGACCGACGAATGACATCTTTGGTCTGAGTGATTGGGCCAAAAGAGGTTAGGGTCTTTCTTATGCTCCAAAAATCAAAGTTCCTGGTGAGAATAGGATTGCTTTCATTCTGCGCAGCAAAGAAGATGCCCAATACGCGTTGAGAAATCGATTTGTTAGAATTCGGGGTAAGCTAATATCCTTAGATCTTTGGAAACCATCTTCTCATTATTCTTATATCCCCAAGGAAAGTGTCTAGATTTCTGTGTCAGGGGTCCCACTACATGCTTGGTCGATAGAAACTTTTCATAAGATTGCCACCTGTTGTGAAGAATTTTGTGATATTAATAGATTATCCTTCCTGGGGGTTGATCTGAATTAAGTCAGAATGCAGATTTGGAAATGGAAAGGCGCTCCACTTTCAAACCAATCAGATTATTGGTGGGACAAGAATCGTTTTTTATTAAGATTTACTCAGAGGCTAAAAGGTGAATGGACCACAGTTATTCATCGGATTAGACCTGCTAGAGATGCTGCTCCTGAAGCTCAGGTTCGCAAGCCTTTGAGATCCTCGGCTAATGGTCACCGCAGGTTTGCCAGAAAACTGAACGAAAAATTTCAAAATTTGAAAATCATGAAACGGTGGATCCTGGTGGGTCGTTCGTGAATAGTCCACCGTTAATGCAATATTCGGTTACGTCCCTGCACGATGACGCATCTGATAAGGTGGTCCCTCACGGATCACAAAAATATTTCCCTACCTTTTTGGTGCATGGTGGCAGCATAGATATGCCTATACCTTTATCGGGGAAAGTGGAACCAAACGTGGCAATCTCTCCGGTAATTCAGCTGGGCACCTCGAGTATTGGAAAGGTTTCTCTTACTCTTACTCTTTCTCTTTCTTCTTCATTTTCTTCTAAGGTGTCAGTCCAATACAACAACCCTAGCAGAGAGTTCAGTCCATTCTTCTGGTTTGCTGCGGCGCTTTCCATTGCAGGTCATAAGCATTGCTCGGTTATGTCCCTTGTGCTTTTAGTAATTGCCAAGATGTATCCTTTCTTCCATCGTTGTGCCTCAAGGAAAGCCAAGATGTCGCGAATCATTGCTAACCAAGGATTTGATCCTCTCTTGATCGTTCCCGTGGCACTGGTTGTGATTAACGAAGAACAAGATCAGAATATTAATCAAAATCAAGAAAGTTTTCGGAGGAGATTGTTCCGGATTTGGCAATGGTTGAACTGGAAGTCCCGAGTCCCATTAATGTCATCCGCCATGAAGAGAGACCACTACTGCTTAGCTTTTCGTCCTCTGCTCCTCCGACGGATTCTCCGTCCTTTGCTACAACTCAGGTTTCTGAGTCTGACCCTGTGAAGATGCCTGGCCCGAGACCTGAGTCAGAGATGATTATGTAGAGTTCTGTTCCGGTGGCTGATGGTGTCAATGCTCATTCAAAGGAGGCTTCAATAGTCTCTTCCTTAGTCTCTGATAGTGGGATGGACTTCAATCTCCCAATTGAAGAGGTCTTTAAGGAGATTATTGCAAAGAAGAAGAAGTGTGCTGAAGAGATTTCCTTGCAGAAGATAGTTGTTGCAGGTGCTTTGAACGCTAATGGTGATAGTTCTAGGAAAGATGGAGGTACCGATATGCGAACTTCGACTGCTGCTGGTAAAGCGAAAGCCAAAGGCAAGGTGGTGGCTTAGGTTACAAGAACTTCGGCAAGGCTTCAGGCTCGTGGGGAGTCCAGACCCAACAGAGCTAGGAGAGGGATTGTAATAATTCTAAAATTTTAAAAAATAAAATTAAAATAAAAAAATAAAATTTAAAAAAAAAAGAAGGAAAGAAACTCTTAATAAGTGATGGTCTATATGAGCATGATGGTCCTCAGGGACCATCACTATTTTCAAAAATCTTTTGGTTAAGTTTCTTTGGTTTGCTCCTGCCTTGCCACGTCAAGTGGACGTGGGCGTTAAGCATATAAGGGGTATTGTAACGGTTGCACCTCGTTTATGAGGTGTCACTTAATAAAATATTATAATAAGGTATCGTAAGAGTTTAAATATGAGAGGCGAGGACTCCCACCCTAGAAAACTTCTGAAATCTTTCCCTTTCTGGTCGAAACACAGTGAGCTCTTCTCCCTAGCCGAATTTTTATCGGAAGCTCCCTCTCAAATATTTTAAGTAAGTGACATCGTCTTCCTGAAAAATAGTATGTTTTTAATAAATAGTGTTATTTTCGTTCAGGATCGTTATTTTATAAGTTTTGTGTGTAAGTGACCTCATTGTCTCGAAAAATAATCCATTCTTTTTAAAAATGAAATGAAATAATTATTTCTGCTTATTATCATGAATTTTAGGCGCGATAAATTTTATGCGCACTTGACCTCATTATCATGAAAAATAATCTTTTTAATACAAATTGTGATATTTTATCTATGTTAGAAATTTTGAATGCTGTAAATTAGAAAAATAAATTTATTTATTTTTCTTGTTTATTGTTAGAAATAAATGTGATATTTCTGCTTTTAGTAAAACT